GCCTTTCAGTCTGCAGGCCGATGCTCTATCCACTGGACCTAACTGGTTAGGGCTCAGGCATATTTATTTTTTTAAAAAAATATATTTTTATTGATTTCAGAGAGGAAGGGAGAGATAGAAATATCAATGATGAGAGGGAATCATTGATCGGTTGCCTCTACACGCCTCCTACTGGGGGAGGAGCCCGCAACTCAGGCACGTGCCCTTGACCGGAATCGAACCCGGGACCCTCAGGTCCACTGGCCGACGCTCTATCCACTGAGCCACACCAGCTAAGGCAACAGACACTTTTTTAAGCATAAGGAGTCATCGAATTTTAGAAATGGAAGGGGGCTTACTGATCACCTATCTGATCCATCTCCTCGTTTTACGGTTCTGGAAACTCCAGGAACGGGGCGAGTTTCCTGGAAGGCCCAGAGCAGGCCCAGAGGGACGAGGGTCCAGTCCACGGAGCACGTGAAGCCCCCCCGGGAAACCCCCTGTGCTTCACCAGCAAAGATGGAAGGGCTGGCCCAGCACAAAACACGTGACATTTGAACGTAGAGGCTTTATTTACAATGAGACTCAAACACGATGTAGCAAACGATCCTCCTCCTCCATGTCTTCTCAGCATGGGCTGCACTTCATAACCAAAACAGGAAAACATCCTTGGGCAGGGCGACTCCCTCCTCTGACGTGTCCCCTAAATCCCAAACAAGTCCGGTTCCCCAGCCTGGAGCAGGGTGGCTGGGGGGCGCTGGGGAGCGTGGAGTCGGCAGCTGCGCCCCCTCCTGCAGCCCCTGGGGAGCGCGTCCAGGGGCAGCTTCAGGCTTTCACCTCGCTCATGGCCTCCATGAGGCGAGCGCTGTTGGTGACGGCTGTTGTCAGGAAAATGAACCTGAACCCTGAGGAGCCAAAAGCACCAGCCAGGTGAGTGCCAGCAGATCAGTGGCCCCCGTCACCGGCCCCGCTACCTAGCGCCCCTCCACAGCCCGGGCTGGATCCAAGAACCAGTTCACGGGCGCAGACGTGTGGGTGCCACGCTCGGGGCACAGCGACTGGCCACACCCTGGAGCTGGGCTCCTGCTCTCCGGCCCACAGCCAGTGGTACCCAGAGGGCAGCAGAGGACCTCCCCGAGCGCTGCCCTTTGGCAGCCCAGAGCCCCCCACGGACCGGCTGTCACCCTTCCGCCCTCGCTCACCTTTCTCTCTGCCCAGGAACCGCAGGGCTGAGATCTCGGAGAAGGTGCAGCCCCCCAGGAACACCACCAGGATGAGGCGCAGGGACTCACTGGGGGCCCTGTCGTCCTTGGTCCCGCCTGGGGAGAGCAGACCAGACACGGCTCTTTTTTTTTTTT